AGGAAGATCTGTTATAATTTCAGAATCATATAAAACTGCTTATTAATAACAATGAAGAGCTACAATTACTGGTAAAAACTAATAAATGTCAACAAATACATGCTTATTGAATCGGCGCGGTCGGCTAATTAGTTTCCTTTCCAAGCTGATACAGCTAAATTTCACAGTCGTCTGAATAGTTTCTTTCGGGAACAAACGACCATAAAGAAACAAGCACAGGCAACATAAATAATGTCAAGTAATATTAAAATACTAAAGTAGAATCTGAAATACGTTCTTTCTCAATCAACAACTTTTTAAACTTGAAATCTTTTTTGTTATCAAATGTTATATCCTGTTTTGATTTGAGCTGTGTGTTGTAAGCTAGCTATAGTCGGACCCCAGTAATAATGTTAACACTTTGGCCAATTAACTACCGCTCAGTGTTGATTAATCACCTAATTTTGAGATGTGTTATGTATCACCGTTAAAATCGTAAAAACGTATCAACTTTTGTAAGGTGACTTTAGTCGGACCCTGTAATAATGTTATAATGTAAGAATTATAAGTGGAATCTATGAATAACCCTCAAATAGAACGTCTTTTTTTCAAATTATTAATCTTTACATCGTTGTTGCCAGTTTAAGGCTTAGTACGGTTTTAAATGGAACTAAAAATAAATGGAGAATTAACACATCGGTACTAGTATCGCGATCATACCACCAAAAGTTCAATTTAGCACTTGAATTTCTAAATATAACATCAACAAATTCCATGTTGTATCACTAACCACAAAACCTGGATATAGATCCTTCCTCGTCATGTTGAACTGTTCACACAGATAATAAATTATTTGAATTATTTATAACTTGTGTTCTATTGTCAAATCAGATGCAGGACATTTTCAATTTGAGTAACCGTCTCTTTCGCCAATTAACTACCGCTCAGTGTTGATTTCGATATTTCAAACATCCAATTACTCTTTCAATCATTTCATTTCGGCATGATTTTAACCTCCAAATGTATAATAATGGGTTTACTACACTGTTTGTCAAGTACAATGTCACAAGAATTATAAACAGTTTCCTATTTTGGATCATAGTGGGGAAAAAACCATAATAAATGATATAAGCACCCATAGGAAGATATGAAACTGCTAATGCAAGTAAAATAATACCAACGGTAAATGTTAAGTGTATTTCTTTTCGAATTCTATAAGAAACTCTATTGTAGGGTGTATCCCCACCAATCATGGTCGCCGCTATTTGTCTAATGTGTTTCCTTGTGATGTTTAGAATATACATGTAAAGACTGACATCGACAAGAACAACAATGCATATTATGATCCCTGTAATGGCATATCCTATAGGACTACCAACATAAATAAATCGACATTCTACGTCACCTGAAAACCCATCGTAAAATAGAACATATGACAGAGAAATAGATAATAGCCAGATCACACAACTGCATAGTATTAGTTTCTTGCAACTGACAAGTCGCTCATAGTCCAGAGGCATTACCACACAAACAAATCTTTCGATTGTTACCATAAGATTGCAGAGTAAGGTAGCAATAGTAAATGTTACAGCAGCATAAATTCGTAAATGACACATCCAATGTCTACTTTTGTACGTAATTGGTATGAGTGCCAGACCGAAAACTTGAAATCCGAGTATAGTATCGGATGAAATGATAGTCAGTAAACACGCCTTTTGCTTTTTCAGCATGCATTTGGATAACACTATAGATGTAATTGTAATAAGATTCAAAATAAATGTAAATAATCCGATTACTCCATTTACTGTCGATTGGACACTGATAGCGGGCGCAGAATATACACTTTCGACGATGCAACTGTTGCAGGTTGTGTTATTCATTTTACTTCCAGTAAGGTCGGTTCCGTTTTTTCTTGTGCCAGCTTTGATATCAAAATATGGTTGAACGTAGGTGTGTTGAAATCGGATTTTAACAAAGTAAATTGTATAACGGGGTGCTAATTGACTCTATCCCGTCTGAAAAGGGATAACACTGTTTTTGTTGGATGATGTAAATATTAATTAAAAGGCAGAATATTACTAATATATCTTATAATTGTGTTAATGTACCTTCGAAGACTATTGTTCTTTATTGTCAAATGAACAAAAGTATTAGTCTAATACCTTTCTTACGGTAGCTTTATTGGAATTTTTTACTGGTTAATGATTACTTACATAAGCTGCCACTGTCATTGTTTGGTTTGTTTTATAAGTTATGGGACAGGTGATAATTCAGAATTTTCTATTATGTTTCTTGTGGTAATAGTTTCATCGAAACCAAAGATAATTAGATACCATTGGCCAATATGAGACATTCAAAGTTAAGAGCCATTTAAATTATAAAGTATCACAACAAAAATTCCAGAAATGATTATTAATATCAAGTCCTCAGAATAAATGTAAATAGACATCAATACAAACCACCAGATAATTATTGATAAGATTTGCGCATATTCTTATCCTGGACATTCTAAAAACAAGAACACAAATTCCAGAAATGATTATTAATATCAAGTCCTCAGAATAAATGTAAATAGACATCAATACAAACCACCAGATAATTATAGATAAGATTTGTGCATATTCTTATCCTGGACATTCTAAAAACAAGAAGAAAAATTCCAGAAATGATTATTAATATTAAGTCCTCAGAATAAATGTAATTAGACATCAATACAAACCACTAGATAATTATTGATAAGATTTGTTTTTAGCTATTCTTCAAAGTTTTAACCAGAGTATTTGAATATTGTGCTATATTATAACATTTAGTTTGATTAATCTAAAAATCCAATTATTCTACATCAAAATGCAACATCTTTGTATTTCAACTGGCACCAAAATCAAGTATAATTTTCATTCATCGAAATTGAATTAAGTGTCTGCAATGACTACATGTTTTATTTCACTAACATTGGACTTTGGTTATGTTATATCTTAGTATTACAGATCAATATAAATATCTCCTTATTTATATAATCAGATTATTGATGAAATAAACATGTGTAAAAATTCCGGTACAAGTTGTTTCCCTTGAGTTGAACATGTATTAAGAAATTCATTTTTTTCTGGGACGACTATAAAAGCTATTTAATTATTTTGTTCAGATTTTTTCGACAATATTACATATTTGGTTACGTTACATCTTAATATATAAGATTAATTTAAATATTTCTCTATTTATATAATCAGAAACATGTTTTAAAAATTTTGGTACGAGTTGTTTCCCTTAAGTTGAAAATGTATTGAGAAAATAAATGTCATTTTTTGTGTGTCGCCCAAACAAGTTAATTAGCTATATTGCCATAGTCGATCAGAGGTGTGATTTGTTCTTCACGACCAGCGAGAAAACCGCAGATGCGCCTCAAACTACAATTTGAAGTGCCCTTTGATCCAATTTTATTTACTTTTTAACTGTATAATATCTGTTTTTATCATTTTTACCTGGTTGAGTAGATGAATTCGACTCGGTTCGGTGAGAAGGGGCGATATGAGAATAAACTGTGATGTACGTTATTGGTTTTGTACTTTATAACATTAGATATGTTTAACCTTATTCTTCTGCAGTGAAATAGGTCTACTTGATTATGACTGGTGTTTGCAGCTGTCCTTTCAATTGATGGGAGATAACTAAGTTTCATTGCTCAAGTTGATGCCGAGTTTTTTATTATTAATCTTCGTGTATATTTAATCTACATCTTTTCTTCCATTTACATGAACTAAAGCCAATGTGAGATACATTTATATTTAAATTGTAAATTTAAAGGAGAAACGAAAGACTAATAAAAGGGAAGAAATTAGCTCATTGCTCAACCTTTATCAAGGGGTCCAGAGGAAAATACCTTCAAGCAAAATTGAAGGTCCAAATAAGTTTAACATGATTTAGCATACAGGAACTTAATTTATACCTTGCAGACAGGCTACTCCAGCTTCCCAGATGCGTTCAAGCTAAGATTGTTCGATCTGTTCCCATCAGTCCTAAGCGGTGATAAATAATTGCACAAAATTTGTCCATCGATTGATCATTTGCGATAGTGACATCATATACGAGAAGTATTTCCATAATAACAACAAGCCAAATATATTGGAAAATTCAGAAAGAAGCCATTCAAGGCTCCAATACATATGAAAAAGCTGTAAAACCTGTTCGTAACCCTTTCGATATGATTTATGGATTATACGAAACTCTTCCATTGGCTCAGTTTATATTATGTCCCCGATCGCCTTATTCCTTTTGTTATTTTTTTTGTCCCGACAGCCAAAGTTATCCCCTGGTATATCTCGCGTTAATCCCGGGTTGTTCATCGTGGCCTGAAACAAGATTGCGGATAGCATCGATAAAATAAGGCAGCTGATTGCAAATTCTGAAGGGCCAAAATACAACGCTGTCTCAATGCACCCTCATGCCGTTAATACCTGAAACGTCATTACCATGACTACCGGGAAATGAAGAAAATGACCCTTTTTATCGAGGCCAAAAAACGAGAATGATGTTCATTTTGTCGTCTCGTTTATCTTGTCTTCTGGAAAAAATTACTATGGAAACGTTATTATGAATAGTTATCAGAAAAGGCAATGCACATATTGTAACTTTTATTTATCTAATGATCTTCCAAAATAGGTGCACCTATAACAACTTAAATAGATATCGGGGCGTGTGATTGGACTCCCTACGGTACGACCAAGGGCCAGCGATCAACACTACGCATCGAAATAATTTGAGTTTCGATAAAATGCAACAAACACCATGGTTCGATAGAGAAATGTTCAGTTTAGCATCACATTGATGTTGAAATGCCCATAAATATAATGTAATAGAACGACATGATTTCTGATTGTTGTTTTTAATAACTTCTGAATGGTAATGAATACTACATCACCAAATGTGTTTGGTAATATTGTTGTCAAGAATTGAACGATATGTCTTCATTTATGTGACAAAATTTGAACCTCACACAATACCGGTTTTTACAACCGGCAATATTAGTTTTTTATGTTTTTCATAATGGTCTCTATGAGCTTCTTAATAAAATTCTTATGATCATGTAATCCAGAATGCATTCTTGTAAAGTTGATCATATACATCATGTCATGATAACGTTTTTGCCTCAGCTGACTGTTAAACTTTCGACGTTCATTTACTGATGTATCATATTCCCTCAAGACTTGTTTTAAGTCGTAAGTCGACTTGGCCTGGTTGGATATCTCTACATCGTTATTTGGGTGAACCAAGTCTTTTTGAGTGGCTTTCATTGAAGCTTCTCGTCTCCTTCGCACAACACCTGCACTGTTTGACATTGGAAATGTTGATCTTTTCGTTTCATTTTTCAATTCGTTCGCAGTATGATGCTGCAGACCCGATATCGCACCTGAAGTCATTAACACTATGAATGTTGGAATACCTAATGCCAATATGGTGGTAAAAACGACACAGGCGTAATGGCGTAAACTTCGCTTTCTTGTCCTGGAGTTCTCTGGTGGTGGACGATGAACCTATTAAATATAAAATGTAGGCGGTCTAGAATATTATCGATATATTATGCATAAACGAGGTCCGTTACATCTAGACTTAACCTTTTACTTTTTTTGCCCTTGATTCGTATATTCGAAGAAGTTATAAGGAGGCATTCGCCACTTACATTATAGTCTGTAATAGAAGTAGTGCTGATAATACTGAGTCTTCCAGTACCATGGGTACACCTGACGTTTTCTGTCGAAATTTCAGGGTTAACATGAAGATTTTGAATCGGAGCTTCATCTGTGATAGGTTTATCATGGTTATGTGAGACGCTCGATCCATATGTTGGTGGATCACAAATTTGATGATGAATGTGACTTGAATGAGAACTGAAATGACAAATATATTACCAGTTGAAGCGACTGAAGTGGCCCAATATAGATGGAGTGATTCCAAAGAAAACAATACGGGCACCAATCACAGAAGACGTTATGATAGGATCACAAAACCACATCATTTGATGTATACTTCACTACCCTACGTTTTGTCAAAAAAGTTATGCAGCATCAGGGGAAGAAACAAATAAAAAATGGAGCAGTTTCCCCCCAATGAAGTTAAATCTTTTTTAACGATAAAAAAATGAAATCTCCTTGTTTGTAACATGTATACTAATGTACTTGCCATTAGATGTGAATATAAGCTTACCCGTTCTGAAGCAATGTATTGCTTGTAATATATCTTGCACCATAATCTGTCTGCAGGTTTTTAAGTAAAGTAAATGAAATTGCTTCCTCATACGTTGGCGGGCTTTGTGTTGATGTTATATCTTTGTGGATTGTATTGCTTAAACTTGAGTTATTCAGAGCATTTAAGTGCATGGGACACAAAGAATCCGATACAATTCTGGTGGAAGTCTGGATAACCGGGGTCAAGAACATCATGCCTGAAATTATATATCATTACATGAAATTAACGAGAAAATAAATAGAACCTGATGTGAGAAAATGGATCAGATATGATCAATGAAGAACAGTATTGATATCAATGCAGAACATCGATCAAGACCACCTTTCACGGGTTGTCGACGAGATCTATCTTTTATGCATTAGCTTTTCCATAGATTTACTGAACATTTCTATGGGCTAAACCGTCAGTTTTCATTAGTTTTATGGCAATTCAAATATTTAAAACTTTCGAGATGAAAGTTAATAAAAAATAAACGTGTCGTCAGCATTCGATGAGAGCATAATTGTTTTTGTATTGTTTTTCCTTTCGATCATTTCAGAGTAGGTTATAGAGGTATATTTGGCTGTAATTCACTATTATTTTATCAAGAACAATGAAACATTTCCATTAGAACAGGATGTTGTTTACACTATATTTTACTAATTTTCACAATTAAATCAGAACAATTAACGAGATTGGTAAAGCGAAAAACTAAAATTCTTGAAAATTGGACGAAAGCGGTTAAGTTCTTAATTGATTAAAACGCAGATACATGTATTAATATATCAGTGATTTGACGAGATATTTCTTTTTTAATCTTGTTTTGTGCAATTTTGTTAACAACAAAAAATCTAGCACGGATTGGAAGACCGTTGACAATCTTCCAAAATAAATAACACGTAAATACCTGATAGATTTTGTTTTATTGTCCCTTGTATGGGAAGTTGTCAGACGCAGAACTCCAATTAAACGAAAAGGCCAAGGCATATTGAAATTTCCCTTAAGTTAATCTGCGAATCTAATTTATATCCGGTACTATATTCGTTTTCGGCATCAGTTGGACGTAGAACTTCAGTTATGGAACTAAAATTCCATTCAGTCATTGCTATACCAACCAGTGAGTCTGAGCAATTGAAGACATTTAAAATAATGAATTGACATTTAAATACCAACTATACGGAGCTTAATTGAATTTTACATGGTTTAAAAAGTTTATCCTGATGGCAGATCATAGTTGGTGGAAGGAAAAGATTTTTAGGTACATGTATGTATACAATCGACAACCCGATATTACCACCACTATAAATTTCCCCTTTTCAATTTCATTTTGGGATAACTTTCAACGTAGATGTGGTCAATTTTTCAAAATTCGCCAATATGTAATGGCTCAACAAGGAGCTAAAAAAAAATAATGGATGAATCCCTTTTTATTTCATTGGACAGTTTACATTACCTAATTTAATGTAGTTATTTTGCACCACTGATAGTTCGGCTTTATTAATGTAGATATATGATCAAAAATGAAGAAAAGGTGAGTTAGCAGTTGTTTAGGACAATTTAAGAAATTTGAAACGGGTGGTCCCTAGCCCTTGAACTGTAAAATCTAAATCAACATTTCGTAACAATTCGCTTTCTTTATTAATAGTTTGACGTCTTGACTTTAAATAAGAATATGTATGTACATCAAATTAAGTGAGTTGCTTTTGCAAGATTTCGAAATTTGAAACCCTTGACCCTTGTGGTATTGAAAAATGTTTTAAATCGAGCGGTTTGTTTCAATGTGAATGCTTTTGAAAAATATTTGGTGCTTTTAAGACATAGTTCTACTGGCTTCTTTCCAGATTTTCTAGAAATTTGCCAAAGGTTTTTCCTTTTCACTAACACTGTGTAGAGTCATATTTGGGTGTGATCCTGTATCTAATAGGTTTCATTCATTGAAGTAGTTCAGTTTTATTTTTACTTCAAATTCATAAACATAATGAAGCCAAGCTTGATTACAGATTATGGAAGCTATAGAAACGGTAAACAAGGAATATCGATTCTGTGACTAAATCTAATAACAGGTATTTGAATATCAATCATAAAAGCCAAGACGCTAACTGTTTAACATCTACTCAATAATAACTTGAATGACCATACATTGAGTTTGCGACTGTTAATGTGGCAAATGAAGATTTAAATATGGATAAAAGATTCTTACTACGTAGATGTTACAAATCTTACTTTTACTTAAATTGTGGCCTGGGGGGACTTAGACTCAAGTAGAAAATACGACTGGTAGTACGTAGGTGAAACATATCAATCGCTGGACTTTGTCGACCGGAGAAAACCGACGATTTGAAACAGTGGCATCTGTGACCATCCAGATCTTAACATTATGTTCATTTCTCTGTGTGAGTGTTTCTAATGAAATATTTTGATTCGCCGGTCCACATCTTAAAGGGTCATAATTCTGCTGTATTTTCTTCGGTAGTATCATTGATCTCCGATACGAATTAAGAGCCATTACAGCTAGACTGAATATGATAAAATAGCTCGCAGTGAATTTCAGCAGTCTAAGGCATTTATTCAAAGTTTATTAAACCTAAAATAGTTTCAAAGTTTATTAAACCTAAAATAGTTAAATTGAAAACAAAATCATTATCGAAGCCGGAGTAATTGTCAGCCTTAAGGAATCAAGTAATAATGGCATTACCGTATACAAAGTATAATATTGTTTCCTGTATAACGTTATTGAGTATAATATAGTTATTTGATATTTTTGTACCATGTCTGGAAGCGTTATTTTATTGAATCTTTTACCAAAATTCTAAAGAACTGGAGAATGATAATTTTTTATGGGCGTGTAAATGGAAACTTTAGATAATCTTATAATATCACTTTGTATGGTATTTAGGCCCACAGCATTACTCTTTTTCTATCACCTTGGTTGAAACACATCCAAACTGAAACAAGTTTGGTTTACTCAACAAATTTTATGAATATAATCATATTTTTTTTCTGTTAAATTTCGAAGAATGGCATCGCGGAAAATAAGTGTTTAGAAAACTTCTGCAATATATGATATTTGGTACTATTAATTTGGCATCATTAAGTATCAGTTCTGACTGAAATCCTGACAAACCCCATATTACCATCTTTACCTTCTGAAAAGTGTTAAGGGCATTAAACAGTAAGATTACCAAAAGTAACGGCTATTCTTGTTTAGGTATTGTTTATAGTAATTTCTATGTTGCACGAATGATTAATGAAATTGTTAACATCGAATTTCAGACATACTCTATGCTGAATTTACATTACAGTAATCTTTATCAAGTGGTCAATCGGAAATTACAAGCCTTATATTCATGGTAAACGTATTTCCAATTTATTGGTTTTAATTTCTATTAATGAAATTTCTTGTTCTATATGACCGCTAATGAACAAGCCTAGACTAACATTGTCTACATGGAATTTCAGACAAACTTCACGGCGTATTTACATTTACATCCATTAGTATATTCATTTCATTTGATATTCTTTGAATTATTGTTATAAGTAATTTCCATTTAATATGAATGAGACCAGACATAAATTAACATTGTAACAAAGAACATAATTGTTTCCTAATCTACCTGTTCCGAATGTATAATAATCATTATATATACATTTACAACTAGAAGTATTATTAGTAAGTCAATTCAGCTAGAGAGAATCGATTTTACTCAAATACCTATCAAGTTGTCAATTACACAAATTGATCTTCCGTCAAAACCGGATCAGATCAAACTATTGCTTTTATTGCACGAGGAAGATATCGTGGTGTGTTAACGTTTAATTTCCATCAAAATTCTTTCCTACAATAATTACACAATAGACCCACGGTTTTCATGCTGATAATAGTAGAATATCTATATTTTGATTGGCATTAGACAAAGAAAGCATTATATCAAAATCTAGCGCAAAGTCTTCATTAATGTATTAACTGTTTTATTAGAAAAAGCAGTTTTAAATATCAAAATTGTTAAACGTAGATAAATTAACATGTCAGTGTGGTCTTTGCTCTCAAAATGTTCACAGGTCATACAAATACTCTTGATTATAAAAGTTCATGAAATTGTGATTCTTCGCTTGATCATGGAATCTATTTCAGTCCATTAGATATGTGTGGACGAACGATACATACATGACCGCCTTTAGAACAATATGCTGTGGTGTATGGTGAGCGTACTTCAACTTTTTCTGTTCTTTTATGGGCAACACCATACAGTGAAATAAAGTTTGCGATACCAAATCGCCTTTGATTTCCAACTGTCGATGCATCTGAAATCCATCCGAACTGCATCACTACCGAAAGCAAAATCTCGGTCAATGAATATATCGGACCTTAGACTCATCAGTAGCGCATATAGGTTCGGCACAGACTTTCTAAATTTGGAGCAATGCAATTTGAAGGTCTGTCAACAACAAATCAGGACATGGTGTGGAGATAATCTCGAACCTCGTCTATTCCTTCCATCGATACTATTTATCAATAACGGAGATGTCAAAGAAGTCAATTTACAAGTCAAGTTACAATTCCTTAATCTTCGCAAGGATTTTCTTTGCGAGTTGTAGAAAGAATGAAGAAAGAAATTTGATGATTGCACGCATTTTATAAAATTGCTACAGATTGGGCATGGGGTTATTATCATTAAACGGCAACAAAAATCTGTGATACTCTCTTCTGAGCGATTATATTAAAATATATTTTAGCACTTTGTTTAACATTTTGGCACTCAAATTTATTATGATCTATATCAGATATATCGACTTTCCATTAGCGAACGCTGTCAAATTTATTAACTATTTAGAACGACCAACTGCGGATTTTAAACAATGATTACTATACTCAGTGTAAATTGGATGCCCAAAGCGCACGAAGAGACAATTATTTATGATAAAACCAAAAAGCAACGTTTTTCAAAGAAAAAAGATAATATTTGTATATCTTCGCATGAGAATTACACCATTACTTTTTGTCGGAAGTTTAAAAGAAAAAGCCAGTAGCACGTGGCTGCCACGTTTTCCGTAGGTGACCACACTCAAGATTATCCAATCCCGAATAAAAATACCACAGTGGTAGAATATGTGTCAAATTATCAAATCGTCTTGAAATACATCATAAAACTTGTTCTGAGACAATGTGGAAGTGTTGCTTCAACTTATGATATTGAAATAAATCTATGATTATTATAATATAGATGCTTTCTTTATAAATAGACCTTCCAGCCGCGTCAATATATTAATGTTTTGGACACATTCAGATATTATAAAGAATCTTTTATTGGATTCGTGTTTTAACTTTTTACCATGTTCGCTGTGCTGGATACCTTTTACAATACTACTTGTGTGTGCACTTTGTATAGAAAAATTAAAAAAGGGTAATTCTAGCCACTCACGAAGATCATTCAAGACTTTGGTGACCTATCATCGATGTTTCTAATCAATCATTCATGTTATAAATCACGTACGGACGGAGGCAAAAAAAAACAACCCGAAAAAACTGTGAATGAAAATAATTACCTTGTTTACATGTACTTAATCATACAGTGACTTGATAGAACTTCTGTCTGCAAATCAATGTTGTTTGAGAATGATTAATTTTCAGGTAGAAGACCACGTCGTTCATGGTCTTTACGATGACACAATATCGATCGAAATCACTACTGTTTAGAATAAAATGAACTTAAACCACATAATAAACAATGACAGTATATGTCAACGCTGCTTTGTTATCGTCTTGGAGGGACACTGCAGACAAAACCTTAAGCACGATTTATATAGGTAAATAATGCACCTATCATGCGACACCAACGGTTGCCATGGTGATGTTTAATGGAGGATAGGTTACTACTCTGGAATTATCAACTGCTAAGTAGGCGTCAGTAATTCCACTGTAATACTCTCTCTATGAGATAATCATAATTAACACAATCATTGCTTTCAATACGATGACCATTTTTGGA